GTGGTTGAGATTTTACTGAGTGACCTGTAAGAATACTCTGCATTTTTTGAACTTTTCTGGAGGTGGAGGTAAGAATGATAAATGACAACCATGAAGCCATTGAGGTCTCCCCTAACACTTCGACTGGGCACAAGATGTCATTAGCTTGTTAGTCTGACATGCTCTGTGAAGACAGGCAAATGAGGTTCATACTGAAGCATGCCAACACTTCTTCACATATAATTAGAATCCATACATTCCTCTTCAAATACTTCTCATCTTATAGCAATGGTGGCCATGTATGTACAAGAAGTGGTAATAACCAAATAATGTTATCAGGCTGGCTCTACAGAGAACTAAAGGGATTCAGTCGATGCCTCCTACCAGGGCAAAACACAGAAGTAGCGTGTGAGGCTAAATTCTTAAAAAGGCAGTGTAGGCTGAGAAACAACATCTAAGATGGTCACCAAACTAAACATATACATACATACATACACACATACATACATAAAAATGATACAACATTGGTCAATGCAGATAAAGAATGCTACCAGAATATAAAATCACTATCAGCTTTACATAAACATCCTCATCTGACTATGTCTTCACCTCCAAGTGTTACCAAAGTGCTGTTTTGGAATTGAATTTAGCATGCCCTCTTGTTTCTGGCCCATAGGAGGTATTTGGTGAATGAAAACATGGGCTGACCGAAAGAGTCAGTAGACAAATGAGAGGTGATGGCGTTAGCCAGAACTGACAGGGCCTCTGACTGTTCACCCTGAAAGGTTATGATGGACAATTCTGTCAACACAGTGACATAAAGCTTTGGGAAAGTAGCTGGGTTTGTTTTCATACTGGGAAGGCAGTGCAGACATCTATGTGCATCACTTTCATGCTCATGATTTTAACTATTTTGCTGTCATGTCTATGACCAAGTGGCCAAGGCAGCAGCACAGTCCCAGGAGCCTCTGCCATGATGCCTGGCTAGCATCGTGCAGCAGCAGGAGGTCTCCAGTAACATGAGCAGCTGTGTGTTCTCTTTGATAGCTGGTCCCAAGCGCATCTCTCTACACACTCATCACCGGGGCCCATGAGTTTGGACACACAGACATTTTAGTATCTTCCTGGAGATCCATGGTGATATCACTGTGCTACATGGAGCCTCTGAGACTAGCTTCAACTGAAAGTCCCCAAACCAATTTGACCGTGAAAACTTTTTCCATGTAACAGCTATTAATTTTTGATAAACATTTTGAGAAATTCTGTTTTGTGGTAATTTGTGCATAAACAGTATTTTATGAAAATTAGTAACATTTTTCTGTACCCTGAGGGTTTTTATGCTTTTCCTTTTTTATTTATTAATTCCCTGGTATCTATAACCATTTGTGCTAAAGCCACTCCTTTTGGCTGGCAACAGAGGTTTGATTTTTTTAATCCTTACCACTTTACCCACACACACACATATGTACATGCAACTCTTTTAGCCATGGAGGTCCTGGGTGGTGGCGCCCTGTGTGAGGTTTCCAGGCAGGGGACTGGAGGAGCCCACTGTGAGAGCAGAAATGAGCCTCTGGCATGTGCAATAGAGAAGAGATGGAGGGGGAATTGGTAGAAAGGGGACAGCCCTGTCTCTAAGAAGGGGAAGAACCTCTGCTAAGGTCAGACCCCAGGCCCTAAGCTGGAAGAAGCAGGTGAGCCCGGCCAGAGGGCTCCACCCACAGCTCCAGGACCAGAATCCTGTCCACTGGGCCAGCCCTTCTCCGGGACACACTCACAGCCACGTGCTACCTGAACACCTCAGGTGGCCTTTGCTTTCTGGAAGGTGAGGAGTAGGACAGCTTAAAAGAAGACGGAATAGGGCAGGCCAAGTGGCGCGTTGGTTAAGAGTTGGCTTGGGATGCCAGCTCTGAGCAGCAGGGCCCCGGTTCGGATCCCTCATTAGGGCTGTGACGCTGCGCCCTCTACAGCTAAGATGGTGAACAACAGCTTGACCGGGAGCTGGGCTGCCGTGAGTCGCTGGTGATGGCATGGGCTGCAGTGGGCTGCCATAAGCTACCGTGTGTGGCTAACAGCCAGCATGAGTGGCTGGCAGCTGGCGTGAGCTGCCAAGAGCCTCTATGAGCAGCCGTCCAGGGTCCAGTGACTGATCTGCCTCAGCCGGGAAGAGCACAATGATAATACCAACATGGGCCAGTGAAGCAAAGTCCTCCACAACTAGACTAAAGAACAAAAAGACAGCAACTTGTCTGTTCCCCTTCCCTGACTCCCCAACGCTGTTCCTCTCTCCCAATTCCCCGATAAAAATCTTAAAAAAAAAAGATGGAGTAAAAAAAACATACCATGAGAGTGTGGAAGAGCTGCAGTTGAATATTCCCTGGTCCACACCTCATCTGCCTCTGTGTCTGCAGCCTAGCCCACTTGAGAAGGACGCCTGCCCAGTTTTTGAAAGTGGGGTTGATAGCGTCTTCCCACCCTTGGAGGTGATTAGTAGTGCTGCATCTTCCAGAAGGAATTAAGCTATACAGACAACTTTCAAGATCAGTGTCTGCAGGAGTCACCCCTGGACTCCCAGAGCAACAGGCCAAGTTTGCCCTGGTGAGGGAGGTGTCTCTTTCTGAAGCGCCCTCAGGCTCCAGCTCCTGCCTCCAGAGTGCACTGACTTACTTCCCCCAAAGACCACCTTCCAACATGATGCCTTGGGCACCACATGACCCCTTGCCCCTCTGCCTTCATTCAAGCTGCCATAGTCTTAATGCACTTCACTTTAGTGACACTCCTGCCAAAAATGCATAGCCTGAATCTAATTATGAGGAAATATCACATAAACCCCAGCTGAGGGAATTCTACAAAATAACTCATCTGTACTTAAAAAAAAACACGTCAATACTGTGAAGCACAAAAAAGACTGAGGAACTCTTCTAAATTAAGGGGAGACTAAGGAAACATTAGAAGTAAATGCAAAGCATGACCTGGAACTTTCTTTTGCTATAAAGTATGTATTTGGAACAATTGCTAATATTTGAATATGGTCTGTAGGTTAATTAATAGTGTTGTATGAAAGTTAGTTTCATGATAAGAGAATGTCTCTGTTTTTAGGAAACATACACTGAAGTATTTAGGAGTAAAGGGGTATCATTTCTGGAAGTTACTGTCAAACAAGTTTATAGATAGACAGAACACAAATGTGGTTAAATGTTAACAGTTAGATAATCTGGCTGAAGGATATCTGGTGTCTCTGCTATTTTTGGAACTTTTTTCTAAGTCCGATATTATGTCAAAATGAAAGCTAAGTATATGCGGTCCTAGATACCTTCAGAGCAGCTACAATAGAAGACAGATTTGGCACCCCTAGAATTAGAACTGGGGGCATGGCAAATACTAGGGTCCTGGTATCTGGTTTAAAATGAATGTTGCCCACTGTAAGAGTTCTAGATGAATCAAGTGATGAACTTAGAATGCTTTTGTGAAGACTCAGAAATGGTGGGAGATGAGTGCAAGCCTGACTCTGCCTGACAATGCTTTGTTCCTTACTCCAGCAGACATTTTACCAAAAACCACAGGTCATTCCAGATAGACTAAACAACACCAAATATTTTGTGTCCCATTCTTTATTGCCATATGCCTTTAGCCAGGATCTTAAGGACTCATTGGTAATAGTACATATTTAATTTAGGGCCAATATACTGAAGAGGTCATCCTGATGAAAAGTCCAGGAAATGGGCCCTCAGGCATGGAATTACTCCGTAGGATCCGTGACAGATTTCACTCACACATTCAACACCTTCCAACATGCAACCCTCTCCCTCCTCTTCAGCAGGAAATTAACCACTACATATCAATGAACATCATAGGTATAAACTACCCTGCTTTTTTATTTTACTTTTTTTTCATTTAAGGCAGTAGTTTGCAAACATTTCTATTCTCTTACTGGTAACAAATGACTGATTTATGGGATTTTGTTACAAGGTGGCTGACCTCGCCAACTGGACTGTGGCTGTAGCCTCCTCAGGTGGGTCCCGCCTCTTAAGAACATTGTTAATAAAAGGTAATTGGTCTTAAATGCTTAGCGCTGTATCTGGCACCTAGGAGACCCTATGTAAATGTTTGCTATTATTAACACAAAGACCATATCTTCTACAGGGTGCTGTTTATTTCCTCATAAATTCTACAGTGTAGTGCAAATGCTGGGATCCCAGTGAGCCGAATCTTGCTTAGAACAAGTGCGCATCCACGGTGACTGAGACTAATATTATATCTTGGATTTGTAAGTGGCATTTACTGACTTGGAACATGAACTTGAAGATGCAGCCATTCTTTCAACAAACACTGTATTTGGCACCTGCCATGTGTCAAACACAGTGTTACATGCCAAGATGTGGAGATAATAGGAATAAAAGAGTAATAACCATTAATGTGTGCTAGACACAGTGTGAGCCCATCCTCCCAGTAACCCTGTGAGGTAGGAATGCATTTTCCCCGGGAGGAGATCTAAGTTTTGAGGAACTGAGTAATTGCCAGGCCATTTAACTCCGGAGTCACCTACCTCCCACAAATACTCTGAACACCCCCGTGTACACCCTTAAGGAGCTTACACTGTACTCATTAAGAACTCAGTGAAGAACCGACTCAACACATCTCACCATCCCTCTAAAAGAACTCCAAATGTTGGAGGATCAGAGCATGCCCTTTTTGTTGCCAGGGACACACCCACTTCCTAACACCTTGGGGACTAGGTTGGAAGAGAAAGAAAGGAGACGCGAGATGTTTCGTCTATACCAAGACTCCAGAGAGTCTCCCTGGAAGATCCTTCTGTCGTCCCTACAGCAGAATGTTGGGCCCACGGCGGCTCCACTCACTGGGGACACCAGGTTTCTTTGCCTTCAAAGATCTGCGCGTGGGCCACATGAAAGATCCAAACCTTGGGCAGGGTCCAAACGGTCACTTCCCCGCCCCCAGGGCGCAGTATGCAAATCCGAGTACCAGGAAGTAGCTGGGACCTCTCGGCGGAGCCCAGCTACAGCCAGTTCCTCTCCCGCCGCGCCCGGCCGCCCGCCGCTCGCTCCGGGCCGTGGCGCCTCCGGGACCGACGCGCTGCAGCCTCCAGCTCGCCGCAGGCGGGGCGTGCGCGCAACTCCGGGCCTGGCCCCCAGCCCGCAAACCCGCGTCGCTGGTCCTCGGTTCCCAGCCCGCAGCCCCTCTCGACGCGAGCCCCGCTGGGCCGCCCCGTCGCGCCCCGGGCTCTGAACTCAAGTCACCGTGGAGCGCCGCCGCCGCCGACCCCTTCGCCCCGCTACTTTCACCGCAAGCTGGTGAGCCTCAGGCACCAACCCGGGGGTGGGCGCGGGCGCCAGGGCAGACCCGGCGGGGGCTGCCGCTGTGCCGCCGGCCGGAGTTTCGGGCGCGAGGCAGGCCCTGGACGAGGGGCTGGGGGGTCGGCGCGGACCGCGGGAGCAGGGGACACGCGCCGCTTCCCGGCCGTCCTGGCGCCCGGCTGGGCGGTGAGGGCGCCCAGACGCCTTCAGCCTGTGGGCGACCCGGCCAGGAGGGGCGAGGACGCGGGGGCGGGCAGCTCAACAGGTGTCTCCTGGGAGCCGCGCAGGGGCGTGGTGGGAGGGGCGGGCGCGCGGGCGGGCGCACCTCGCGGCCCCCTGGCAAGGACCCGAGGGCCGCAAGCTGCCCCCACTCGGCCACTCCCAGAGCGTCACGGGGAAGCCCCTCTCCACGCAGTGTGGGCGCGGCAGGGATTCTGGCCAGGACCCTGGTGGGGACTCCTCGGGTTGCACAATCTGGGCTTCCCGCGGGGCCCTGGGTCCCCAGAGGCGAGGGGTGGGGCTCGGCTCTGGCCCTCTCCCAGACCCGCGGACAGTTGCCCTCCTCCGGAGCCCCGGCAGCAGCGTGACGTCGAGGGGGTGCGGGCGGAGGCTAGTGCGCACCCTCCCGCTGAGCCAGGCGCCTCTCGGCTTGCAGAGCAGCAGTCTGATGCCCCTAGGCCCTAGACTAGAGGAAGCGAGAGTTATTTTAAGAATTCAGGGGTTGCCCTTCCTTTGCCTTGGGGGAAGGGTGCAAGCGTCACTTCCCACTGTCCTGCGTGCGTTATATTGGCCGACCGTGGTGTCTTCTAGATGCTGTACAGTCGGGGTGGTCCTGTGGTCATGTCTCCAATTTGTGTGTGTGTGTGTGTGTGTGTGTTACCCCAAACCCACCCAATTTCTTTGCCATCTTGGAAACCCCGAGTGGAATGGAGGCCTTACAGTTTCCTACCTGAGTGTGAACCTGGGCGTATGATTGAAATACCGTGTTTGGGTTTCCTCATCTGTGGGAGAACCTATCTACCTCCTGTGCCATTTATTGCACGTATTCAATAAATGGCGCTGTTATTTATTGCAAATAATTCTGTCCATAAAAAAACAAGGCTTCCTGGTTCTTTGCAGTTTGATGATTTTAAACCTAAGACTGTCTGATTTAGCCATCTGTCCTTACTAGTAAATTTGCTTAATATCAATAAATATACCAGAAGCTTGCTGTCCCACAGCAGGGCCCGAGTCTGGCTTACCCTAAGAACTAGCCAATAAGGATGTTTGACCTACTTGTGATTTATTGGCTGCCCTCAGCTGGCTGTAGGGTTCAGGTGGGCAGGCAACACCCAAAGTAGTGCCACAGGGAGTAGGCACCACAGAATACAGGTACTTCTTAAGTCCTCAAAATCCTTCCTGTAAGTTCTGCTGGCAAAGGGTGGGATTCAGGTAGTCCCTGGTTTTCACTTGGAGGTAGAGGTACATGTCTTAAGGCTTGAAGAACTTTAATTTGATCACAAGAGG